CTCCTTTCTCCTTTCTCCTTTCTCCTTTCTCCCTTCTCCCTTCTCCCTTCTCCTTTCTCCTTCTCTTCTGCTTTCCTTCTCCTTTCCTCTTCCTCTTCCTCTTCCTTTGCATGGTTGTCAAGTTAACAGGAAACCAGTATGTTAACAATATGATTATTTAGTTTTGGAGATGGAGCTACAAAGAAAAGTGAGATATAGAGTGGCCTTGCTGCTTCATTTAGTGTCCTTGTCACTCTCTCGCACCTCCTCATTTTCCCTCTTTCTCCCTCTTTGCATCTACCTCCATCCCTGCCCTTGCAGAGAAAAAAGGGAGTTTTTTCCAGTCCAGAGCAGGAAGAGGTGGGATGTGACTGACCCACATCCCTCTGGTCCCACAGCAGGAGGAGAAGGAGGAGCAAAGGACATGTGAGAGGAGTTTGGCCTGAAATGTGTAACAGAAATGTTAGGAATGACCCTCGGTGCCACATCCTGTTTCACAGGTAGCAGCAGGGACTGCAGTAACGGGAAAACCTGGGACTGACTCGATTGATTTGGGGTTTTTTTTGTTTCTTGCTTTCCTTTTGGCACAGCAGCCTGCAGGGCTCTGTCAGATGCTGTCTGATTGCCTTGAGCAGCTTCAGGGCTTGCAGCAGGAGAGGGTTTATTTGGAAAATCTTGGCTGTGGCCCTTTCCTCCCCCTTTCTCCCTTCTCCCATCGCCAGGCAGAGCCCATAGCAATTGAGTGGGAGGCCTGAAACTGCTTGTAATAAATCCCATGGTATCCTTACACTTTTACTCTCATAATTTGGTTTCCTTCTCATTTTTCTTTGGTATTCCTTCCTGCCACATGTAGGTGAGTGTCTGCCTTATAGGGGGAGCTGCTTGAACCAGCTTGCAGAACTGGACTGAGCTCTCCTGATATGGATCTGATCCCGACTCACCCCTTTTGTTCCACCCATCTTCCCGCTGAATTTAGGGAAAATAGCTTACCTTGTGAATAAAACGCGTTGCAAGAAACGTTGAGCTCCACACTGTGTGTTTTAACCTCATGTGCTAAGTAGCCCAGTTGAGGTTATGAGTGTTTTAGGACAGTGACAGGGCGTTTTTATGTGCCCTTAATGGTAGGCAGTGAAAAGCTAAATAGTTGACAGCAAATAAATCCTTGATTGGAAACGCTTGCTCACTTGCAGTGTCTGTTTCATCGGTTTTTCTTTCCCCCCACCCAGTTTTCAGAGTACATTCAAGCCCAAGTGGATTCCGGCAAAGGGAAACTAGCCCCGGGTTTCGATTTTGAGAAGATTGTCAGGAACATGTTCAGCAACCAGGACCGGGACGGAAACGGGAAAGTCACAGCCCAAGAATTCAAGCTGAAAGACCAAGAGGCCAAAGAGCAACACGACGAACTGTGAAGCCAGGAGAGGAGCTTCCCGAGCCGAGGGGCCGCTGGGCTGCGCGTGTCCCCGGAGGTTGGAGCGAGCGTCTCGGCGAGGCGCGAGACGTCCCGTAGGAGCCAAAATGGGAAGAGATTTCCATTGGGCTTCTTAGGTAGGAATGTCACCAAAAAAGAAAAAGAAATAACCCCAAACTAAAAAGAAAACCAAAAAAAAAAAACCAAAACAAAAAACCACCCTGGTGTTAAGTGCCTCAAGATGGGATTTATAAATGGATTTATAAACTGATGGAGTCTTGCCAGCGTGGGCTTGTGAACCATGTGGTGTATTTTTGTACTGGGAATCGGCGGGTGTCACTGGGCGCCACGCGGTCACTTGGAGGGGTGGTAGTGGGTAAACGTAGAGGGTGCTCGTAGAGGGGTTTTTAAAAGTCTTTTGTATTTAAAAATATTTCTGCAGGAGAATGAGTCAGAAAATATTTCCCATGTAAATAGTCTGTAAAAGCTGCCAGAGGGGACCCTGGTTCCTCGTGGGAGGCAGGACACTCTTCCCGGCAACTAAAGCAGCTCCTGGGAGTGTTTGCCAGCAGGAACTGGGATGTGCCAGCCGCAGGACCCACGGATGGTAGCTAGGCCAGTGGAAGGTGTTCATAGGCTGTGAACTTAAACTAAACAGGCCTAGAATGTAATGGTGTATGTGCTGGGATTTTGCTTTTCAAAATAAAACTTGCCCCCATCTGTACCAAGTTTACTTAGTGCCCTTGATCCTCTCGCTGGCGTGGCAAAGCAGCGCTCAGAGCGGTGATCCCCAGCTTTGCTAGTCACAGTCTTATTCAGAGTGTTTTTAGACTCCGAATGTTAGTATCATGTGGTGCAAATACTGCCATAAGTACTGGATAAAATTGATTTGACTTCAGGCTTGTGTCTCCTATTTTGGGAATTGTTAGACTAGGGGTGAGTACTTGGACCTGACACAGCGGAGCAGCCTGGCAGGGCGAGCAAACAGAAAGACAGTGACAAAACCAAGGAGCGAAGCCGCTGCGTACGCCGCGACACGAGGGGAGCGGGGGAGCGAACACTGTGAGCCTGCAAGTCTGACACACAACACCCTGCACAAACAGACACGTTTTCCTGGAAAGCTGCGTGATCTCCTCCCGGAGCACGGCTGCGTGCAGCGCGCACTGGCAGGGACAGGCAGGGAGGCGGCTCTGCTGCCTTTAGGTGCTTTGCATGTGGCTTCTTGGTCTCCTCCAGCCGCACGCGTGGGCTGCGGGCTCCCCGAGACGCGCTTTTGGCAGACTGCGGTTTCAGTTGGCTTTTGTGCCAACGCTTTTGTGTCGATTTTTAATATAGTTGTCGCCATAGAAAACGAAAAGTGAAAATTTGGGAGGTTTGATTCCTGTAGCTGTTGGATAACTGATCTTTTTGTGACATAAAATGTCGATCAGCTCCTGCTGCCGGCGCCGGCTGTTCTTTTCCCTGGTGTTTGCCGCGTGGGGAGGCAGGAGGGAGCAGCCGGCCGCCCTCTGGGGCGCACACGGGCCTGTCCCGATACATTCCTCCTGCTGCTGCCAGCCCCTAGGGAGAATATCCGAAACTAGAACTGCTCCACTCAAAATAATAATCCAGAATAAAGGGCTTTGTTTCCATAGTTCACGTAGGTGAAGGTAAATCATTGTTTGGCCTTGGAAGGAGTTTGTTGATTTATCCCTCTGCTCTGGTGGCTGTTGGGAAGGGGACATTTCTCCGGGAAGGGGCCTCAGAGCCTATCGGCTGCCGGAGAGGCTGCTCCTCAAGGTGATCCCTGCGAGCAGCTGGGGCCGGTCGCTGGCGGAGAGCCGAGCGGCAGTGCCCGGCGGGAACACCAGGAACGCCAGCAGGAACACCGGGAATGCCGCGGGAGCGCGGGGCTCAGCACGGCTGTCACCGCCACGCTCAGGCCGGCGCCTGCAGGGAAGAAGCCGCAGGGAACAGGTCCCGTGCTGCCAGCCGCCCTCCTTGGAGGAGGAAAGAGGGAAACGCACGTGTCCGACTTTTAAATGAGATGGATTTGGAGGCTTCCGTGCCTGCCGAACTGAGATAGTGTCCCGCTCAGGAATGCGGCGCCAGCCTTTCCATATCACCAGTAATTGGGTGAAATTAGGGGCTTTTCTTTAGCTCAATGAGGGGCAGCTGCTCCCGGGGAGGCTGCTGGCCGAGGCAGAGGCACCTCCGGGAAGAAAGCTCTGCTCCCAGGCACCAGGTATTTGTAAGCATTTTTCTTCTGCATGATTCTTGTGCTCTAATTTACCACATAACTGCTCATGATTTATATACTTGAAAATCAAAAATGAGTTTGCCTTTTTTTTTTTTTTCAGTTTGTGTAACTGTGCTTCTCACTGCTTGCTTTAGATGTCAGAAACACCCTTTCGGTTACGTAAAGGTTGGGGCACCGCGTGTGATACTTTCCTTTCCGAGCTGTTCATGACTGAAAGGTGCTGTTTGCATCATCGGAATTCTTGTGGCATGATAATAATCCTTTCCTGAAAGGGACTGGATAATACGGATGGCAATTCCAGGTTACGAGCTTAGACTCCCGTGTCAGTTTGGCTTGAGGTAACTGGTCTGCAGTTTGTTTGTGGTTTTGGAGAGGTTTTTGACCGGATTAGTTGTTCTAGCTAAATTAACATGATTAGAAAGGTGGGATTTTGACCAAGAATAGGTGTCACCTTCTGTTTTATTTGTTTTGGAAAAGTGGAGGGTATCTGTAAACAGGTTTTGCTTTTTCTCTGCACTCCTGGCTTGGAAGGATACTGGATGGAAAGATATTGTTAATCTGCCAAGTTACAGGACCATTTTAAACACCCCTCCCAACCCAGATGTATCAAGGAAGTGACGGCTTTTCCCTCTGGAATGCTGAGCACGCGGTGATCCAAGAGGTTCTGGGGATCCTCGTGGCATGGGCAGGGGCTCCAGTGGCACCTGCGGCTGTGGGTCGCTCCGAGCGCGTAGCCGATGCCGAGTCCCACTTGGGCAGTGCCGGAGCGCCCGGAATCCGCAATGGAAGCAAAGGCTCCGGAGGCTCCTTCTAGCCGGCTGGGGAGGTCGGGGCCGGGTGCTTGGCGAGGCTGGAGCTTGGCCTTGGAGCAGCAGAGTGTTAACGACGGCACCTGAGGTGGGGAGGGAACCGCGGCTGCGCACAGTAACCCTTGAGAAAGCGTCTTACCGGGATGAGGAGCTGCCTTTAATTCAAATCTACTCGCTCAGAATTTGGAGTATGACCTTCCCTCCTGCCCTCCCCACTCCCAGGCTCCCCAAAGGATAAGCAAACAATAGGGATGCAGAATATTCTGCAATGATCAAACGTTTCGAAAACGTCTATTGAGAGCAAGCACTGTCTGAATTGGGGGAATAAAGCATTTTTACTGAGGAAAAATATGAAAGATTTGGGTGAACATCTGTAGCGTGTTAATGGGATCCTGCAGAGCGCGGCGGCGGTGCCGTTGTTGGGAGCCTCCTCGGGAAGGCGGCAGGGCCGCGGGAGCCCGCTGCGTTTCCCACCGCAGCCGCGGCGGCTGCCGCTCCCCGAGGCCGGAGCTGAAGGAAGGGGAGCCGCGGTGCTCCAGCAGCAGAGTTTAGCACATCCACAAATCCAATCCAAATCAGCCATTAACAACAGGAGTGTGAGACAAAGAACAGCGTAACGACAGCTAAAGGAGCTTCTGGGTGACAACTGGTAGCGTGTATACTTCCAAATACCAAAAGGATGGTAAGAGCTTTAAATTAAATAAACCAGTTCTGTGAATGAGTAATAAACACAAGTAAGGTGGCACAGGTGTGCTGTTCTGTCCAGGGGCCTCCGGGAAGGACCGGAGTGACTCGAGACTGCGCTTTACAGGATTTTCTGTAGGATGGAGTTGGCCACTTCCAAAGATTCATCTTTCACCAAGACAATGTCATAAGAGTCCATGTATTTTTCCAAAAGCTCGTCTACCTGATTGCAGAAAGCAGAGAGGGAGAGAGACTCGCTTAGATTTACAAGATTAGCACATTTTTCTTCAATAAAATATTGCCCTGTGTTCCCACCAAAAATCAGGGAATGAGCCATGCAAGTATCTGTGGCTCCTGTGAGTGAATTCCGTGCGATGACAGAGGGTAGGGGAACTTAACATGAACTCTGTGTGCATTCCAAGGAATGACACCTAAAATTTCCGCTAGGATTTCACATATAAGGACGGTGAATTGGGAACTATTTTCTCAGGTTCCTGAAAGGCAGACCAAAAAAAAAAACCAAGTGGAGAGGAGTTTTCTCTCCGATGCCACTGGATGCACAATAATTTACCGAACACTCAGTTCTGTCTCCTCCAAGGCAGCAGACACAGTGTGAAGTTGTTGTTTGGAAGACTATAGTTTTGCTCAATTCCTGATCCGGTATTGAAAGGGGTAAAGGACAGAGGAAAAAGGAATTTCTGAGAATTAATTTTTTCAGTCTTTGAATTTTAAATCTTCCCCAAAAATGCCTTTTAATTTTTTTTTTCTTCCTGGAAGAATTTCAGTACAAACAGCAGAGCAATTTGCATTTGTGTTTTCATAACTTGGAGGTCAGAAAAAACCCTCAAGAGGCAAGGAGCCCACGCAAAATGTTTGACATCTCACAAACAAATGCCTTCATGATGGTACTTGGTTTGATAGTCGATATATGGACCTATTGCTATATGGAGCTATAATGGACCTATTGCAAATCCTCACCGTTTCACCCGGGGCGACTTACTTTATCGTTGAGATAGCCAATCTTAAGAATGTGCTCGACATTGGCTACTCCATCCGCCATGCTCAAGTCCCCCTGGGAGTCCCCCAGCAGGATGATGTTACTGTTGTCTTTCAGCTGCTTGAAGTACTCCGTGTTCTTCAAGGCACCATCATGTTTGTTGTAAACATGAATCAGTTCTCCTTTAAATCCTTTTAATATGCCCTATGAAAAAACACGTAAGTTATTTCTGGAATTACATGAACGGATGGAGCCTAGAAAGAAACGGAAGACAGTGCTCTAGGAGCGCCGTTGGGCAGCTTCTCCTGGAGCAGGAGCGAGAGAAGCTGCTGTTAGGTGGCAGGATGCCTGTGGGAGCCCCGCTGGGCCCAGGAGAGGCAGGGGGAGGTGCCGAGAGCTCCTCAGTCTGGAGGAGCTAAAGGAAACTAAACTTCCCTAGTCAGGGAACTAAAGGAGACAAAGGGCACCTGGGCCCTCCGCTAAGGTTTGACCTGTGTCCTTGTGCCTGCTTCCTGCCCCGGGGCGTGTGAGCGGGCAGGGTGGATCTTCCCAAGGGCAGGGCAGCTGCCTGCGCCTCTTCCACTGAAGAGTTCCTCTGTAGCGCAGCTGAAGAGCTACTAAATCCCTCTACCATTAGTATTTTTGAAAAGACTGTATTTCATACATACGTTTTCATCAAAATCCATGAAGTTGGAAACAACTTTGACGTTAGAGTGGTAGACCCCAGCCTGGTGGATAACTTCCTCGAGGATGTCTCCGATCCCAGCGGAGAAGATGAACACAGGGATATTGTGCTCGTTGAGCTTATCAAAGAAGTTCTCGTATCCTTCTCTGCAACACAGGATGGAAATATGAGTCCAATAGCAAATAAAAAGATGGAGGAAAACAATAAAAAGAAGTTAGAGCTCTTTGAAGACTAACTTATCCTCTCTAGAGTAGGAAATGACTTTCCTTAGTCTTTTTCCTCTGCTTACTTTGCCTCCCCTTTGCAGGTTAGCAAGACCCATCGGCCTATCAAAAACATTGTATTAACATCTGATTGTGTTTTCAAGACTTGAAATTGTAAAACACTTCCCCCTTCTCGAACTAGCAGAACTTTCTCTAGATACTTTCAGACTCTCCTTTCAATCTTCCTACTGTAAAGATTTGACTTTCTATAGTTCCTCCTGCAAAACAAAACACCCTTTTTGGTTTTAATTCCTGAAAACATCCATATTGCTCTTTTTTAAAAACTTCTGAAATTTTCAATACTCAAAACAAAACTAATATACAGTATTCCAGTCTCTAAGTAGCACCTCAGCAAATAAGGGGCACTTGTGTCACACAGGCATTGATAGGTAGAATTTTAGACGTGTGTTTTTTTCTCCTTCTGCCATAAAGTTCCTATTGGAACCTCAGCCAGGGAGCGACGGTTCAACCCAAATGGACTGGAGCTTTCAAATAGCCAGACTGTGAATGTCTGTTCTTTGAAAGGAGAAGAACTTACTCAGTAGGACAAACACTTCCACAAATTAAGTTCTAACAACCAGTTTCAGTATTTCAAAATTTACAGATTAGTATTTTGAAGAACTTTAAAATAAATGGAAGGCATTTAATAAAGCAAAGATTTTGCTGGCTTGTAAATAGCCTTTGGCCGTAGGGGAAGAACAGTATCAATACTGTAATAAAATGTCCTCAAGTCACTTTATTTTTTACCTCAGATAAAACTATAATAAGGATTGACTTTTCAAGTTGAAGTCTACATTCTCCCTTTTATTAAAAAAGAAAAAAAAAAAAGAAGAAAAAGAAGAAAAAGCCACCAGTGCAGTTTTGAGAGGGTGAGAGTCTGCAGGAACCAAGTTGATTGAGATGACACTCAAAATGCAGCTTTTAATGCAGCTGAACCCCGGTACTTTCAGATTTCCAGTTTATCCAGTGTGATCATCACAGGCTTTTCGCTGTGAAATATCAGTGCAGGAGACATGAAGAACTTGCTGCACTCTAAGAATTGTGTCACGTTCCATTTTTTTGTAACCAAAACCCACTTCAAGCCAGTACAGTTCAAATCTAAGGAAACTTACTTCAGCATCACATCCGATTCCCTCACAATTTCTGCGAACTTATCCTTCTGCAAGCCTTGTTCTATGAGAAGCGCGTGAGACTTATTGTACCTGCAATACGAATACAAAGCTTGGCTCAAAGAAACCCCATGAAATCTCATTGCCAAAAGCATCCTGCTCGTTCAGGTTAACAACACAGCAAAAGCAGTTGTCACACAGGACTTGGAGATTAAGTCAGTCAAAGCATTAGGAAAAGCTAATCACAGCTATTCATGTGCTTTTAGAGACTTACTATTAAACCTATTATTGGTACTGTTTTGGGATGGGAGATGCCTCTTACCATTCCACCATATATGGGTATTTTTCCTCAATAGTGAGAGCAGGATCAATTTCAATAGCGTAGTAGGTTTCCTTCAGCTGTAGTAACTGAAAGGAAAGAAAAAAAGTGTAATGTCTTTTTATAATGTTTGGTCTAGTTAATCAAAGTAACTTCCTTCTATCTAGTTCCTTTTCTTAGGTATAAGAATCTAAAATACCCTTTGCACAGGTAGAAAGACTCGTGGACACACCGAAGAAGAATAAATGAATACTGTTAAATTCTATGCAACTATGAAGAACAGGAGCATTTCTGTTCTGCTGGTGACAGATACAATTCTAACTCCCTGCAGTCAGTGAGGATGCTCTCACAGCAGCAAGGATTGGAGAGTATCCTTGTCCTACACTGCTGTGTAAGGAAACATGAAGGAGAGACTGAGCACAGAGCAGTTGTCTACAGCAGGAACCAACAGTGATTCTGTTTTCTGATTACCTTTTTCCGACATTCCTCTGTGATGAGCTTGGAGTTATCAATGATGTCTGTAGGGGGTGGAAAAAAAATCTTATGTAAGACCCTGTATTTCTGCTTTTCTCTACAATACTGTAAATGACACAGAAGGCAGTGTTTGAGGATAAACAACTCTGTTCTTCAGAATTGTCTTACCAAAAAAACAACTGAAAGGCATGTGGATTTTTTGGGCGGAGGTTGTTTTTCATGAGTATGAAGATGTATTACAGTTCTTCCCCTCATCTCTGAATCGAGAGGTTGAAAAGGTAATTACTCTTTCTTGAGATGTGTTCCTGAAATAATCACCAGGCATCCTACGTGTTTTAGTATGCTTAGTATATTTAGTCCATTAGAAAATTGGTTCTTTTCATCTGTGGCATTTTAAAACAAAGGAAAAGTGTGAAGACTTCCAAGGGGTTTCTTAGTTTCAGGACTATTATGGACTCTGAAGAAAAATATGTCAACCACGTACAACCACATACAGCTTACAGTTCAGAGCTTAGTTTGTAATTATATATGAACTCCTCTGAATTTAATTTACACTAATGATGATTAAATATATATATACATACACACATAAAATTACACAGACACTCGTTCTAGATCTTCATTACGGTTTACAGTTTAGCTAACACGGCAATATCAAATCTCATATATTGAGGGATAAATGAGATAAAAAATTAAAATCTGTGAGAAACTGAAAGGATTGAACAAAACATTTCATATTTAAAAAAAAAAAAAAGTACTCACTATGGCAAGTTGGACATCTTTTTCCATTGAAGGAAAATCTACTTAATGTCATATCAAAATCTGTAATAATCTATTTAAGAAAAGAAAAAGCAAAACTGTCTTACAACATGAAGGGACAAAATAAAGAATGGCTAGAACTTCTGAATAATCAACAACAGCTGCAGCTGAGAGGCAATTCGAGACTGAACACAGATTTCTCCCTAGTTCCCTGAACTACAGTGAAGTAAGCCATCAGAGGAACGTTTTCTTAGGATTTGTTTTAGTTCCTTTGGTCTGAATAGTTCTTGAAGTTACAAATCTTATGTCTACATCATTTCCTTAATTACAGACTGTTTGAATTATGCTTGAATCGAGAGGGGTTGCTGAGGGAGCTGACAGATACAAATTTTGGAGGACAACTGAAGGCTGAACTGAGCTCGAAAGGCTCAAGCACAGGGGTAGACTTCTGCTACATGTATTATTCTTAAACTGCTGTCTTTCTGATCTGGTTATTCCTAATATTTTTACCTGAAGTTTGGCAGCTCCACCTTTGATAAGGCCACAAATAATCTCTTCTACTCTTCCTGGGTCCTTGATATGGACAGTCTTCTTCTGAAATTCTGGCATCTGTGGAGTAAGAATGAAGAGATACTGACAGAGAAAACCGACTGGGCAATACCCACTGCCCATCAGACTGGAGCTCTGCCCACAGAAACAGTTGCATGTGACATCCAGGCTCAGGTATTTTAATCAGGACAGGAAGAAAAGGGTGAGATTGAAACCTGGATGTACTAACTCAGGAGCACATAGAGTTTTGTTTGCTTTTCATGGGTGTTTTCATTCCCTTCTCAAATTACTCAGTAGGTTTGCACTCAAGGAAAGGATGATCATACTCGCAGGAAATAAAGGAAACGTAGAGAAATGGGACATCCAGAGCCACTTTGAAGCTGAAACGAGTCATTGGGAAATGGTGCAACTTAAACATACTAGGTCTCTTAAACATACTAGTCATACTATGTGCTAAGCACTTGCTTACATAGCACAGCAGACTATGTACTAAGCACTTAAGGTCTCAGCACAGGCAAAGACAACAGTCAGGTTTCAGAGCCCCGTTGTTGTGGCAGCTGGGAATGCTGCAGCACGTGTTGGTTGACAACAAGTTGCCCAACTCCCCATCAGTCTGTTTTCCTGATTACTTATTTCCTATTTTCCTATTACCTACTTGGCCACAAAGTTCCAAAGTAACATATGCTACTGCACCTCATGTTTCTCTTGAATTAAGAGTATTTCCTAAATAGCTAAATTTGTGTTGGGGGGGTGGGGAGGAGTCAATTTTCCCAACTTTCACCTGATCTAAAAGATTCTCTTCAACCCGGCAGAGTCACTAAGGGGAGCATTTAAAGGGAGCAATCTCCAATACAGTGATATTGCCTTCCTTTATACCCATGTCCCACATGCCCACGTGCTTCTCAAAAGCCGTCCTGTAGACTGCTGCCATTGTAACGGGCAAAAGGCAGGCGGAGCAGATCCCTCAGGATGTGCTCTCGTCCAGTCCTTGTCCTGGGGTGGAAACGCCGACAGCAGCATCACTCTGCACGGCTGCTTGTCCAACCTGTTCAGCTCGGGCATGCCTCACTTTCTGCAGCGGTTTTCACCCTGCTTACTTCTGCTCCAGAAAAGCTTGCTTATTCGCTAACCTTCCCCATCTCCTTCTTTAGCCTAACCTTCCCTTAGTGCCACTGGAGCTTATTTGACCCAAATGGCCATGGAGAGAAGTGTGTGCTCCCCAGGATGCTTCCCTTTTCTCTCCTCTACAGAGCTGCCATTGCTCAACTGCTTCAGGCCTCCTCTACCTGCTGCCTGAGCCCCCGCTCATTCCCGGGGTGATCCTGGCCACTCCATCCCATTCACCCTGTTCTGGAAACACCGGATTCAGAACTGGGCACAACCGTCCGCACTGCTCAGCACTGAAAAGGCTCCAGCTGAAAGACTAACTCTGGGCCGTGTCTTTTACATAGTATTTTTCCATAAACATTTGAATACATTTTCTTCGTTATCAATAATGTGGTGATACTGATTCAAGTTCAGTTGGTAATTTGCAACTGGTTTCTCAAAATTACTGTTGGGCAGAAATTGCTGTTAGAAGTGTGAAATTCTGCATTTGGCCTCGCTAGAATTTATCTGCTCTTCCAGACCAATGCTCCCATTTGCCAAATACAACAAATAATTCTAATCCTCCAATATACTTGTGGCCAGTTTCTGGCTAATGTTGTCAAAGATGCTAATGAGAACAGACAGGAGAGATCTTCTAGCAGCCTAACCATGAATCAGTGGTAGTTTTCCATGTTTTCCACCGATCTAGAAAGTTACCTCTGTCCCACAATATCTTAAGAAAAAGCCTCATGATGTAATATTTACTGCTAATTTGTACTATAAGCTTGATAAAGAAAGAAATGGGATTTGTGTCACATTAATTATTCTTCATGAAGCACTGGTACTTACTCATCTCCACATTAACTTTTAGTGTTTGAAAATATATTTTTCTAGATTTTTTTTTTTCTGGGAACTGAATTAAGCAAAAGGTTTTTAATTCACTAAATCATGTTTCTTCCCTTCAACAGATTAAGTTTTATTTCCTTTTCATCTGTTTCCTTTTATTTGTACTTTCCCTTTACTGGCTCGCTCAGTGAGAATCCCTTAATTTGGAATAGTTTCCCCTGTTTTCTGTCTACCTGAGGAAAACCTAAAGGCAGAGACCTCTCCTGTAGAAGTGGTACCTTCTATACTGCGGTAGTTACTTTTTGGGTCGTTGCTCTTCCTTGTTACTCTTATTAGCATAGCAAATGCAGAAACGTGTCCTTGGACTGGCTTCCAAATGTTTGTACCAGATCTGGAATCTGAGAGCGCTGATGATCAGAACAAAACCATCGTGAAAATGCCCAGTAGGGAATTCTTAGGGAGTTGTTTTCAGATCGACATCTGCAGAGCACTTATCTTTATTCACAAATATGGAAGAACAAGAGAATCAAGTGATCTGGTTGCATGAAAGAAAACTCAAAATCTGCAACTCTCTCCAAAGTGTTTTATGGTGTTTCTCTTGCATTTTGTACAGTGCTGGGAGACAAAACTGCAATAGGCAGATAGCAGCTCTTTGGTGGGTACGCAGCACTGTTTATTGTGAGATAAGGCACTTGACTCTGTTTTGCAGTTTTTTCACTGTAAAATGACAACTATAATTCCTTCGGCTTTGAGGAGGTAAACTCTTCACATGCTTTGAGAGAGAGAATGCAGAAATTAAACAGAGGGAAGTGTAAGCCTCGGTAAGAAGCAATTCCAACAGCATTGGGTTTACTCGGACACCAGGCGGGAGCCTTGCTAATGCGGGTGATTTCGAGGGAGGGCCGCCGGGGACGGAGCGGCGCGAGGGAGCCCTGGGCCGGGGCACCCGGCCTGTTCGCTGCGCTGTTGCTTCAGACTCGCCCAGGTTGCGAAACCAGCGGAGGAAGAACACCCTTGGCAAACACTGCAGGGGATGATGTTAAACAAGGCATTGCTTCAGAGCGAGCCTCATAAAACCTTCCTTCTCTAAGCTGCTAAATTGCCGTGCCGGACTCCTAAAGATCAGTTCTGCCGGTTAATTCATTCTGCATATAGTTTTATTTTCACACAAAGATTCAAGTGAGGTAAGAGGGAGTATTCTACCATAGCAGGAGAAGTCTTCTGCAGCAAAAATGAGTCTTCATAGTGAATAAGGCACATGATAAAGCCTCAGGCAACCATGATTAGTCAAAACAGGTAGTGTCACCATCTCTATTTCCTTGTATCTATATTTACAACTGAACATTATACAGTAATTACTTTATTTGGGCTTTATCGTTATTACAAGTGTATGAACTGAGTGTCACCTCCAGCAGGCACCAGTTTTCTGGCAAAATCTTCTCCAAAGTTTAACAGTTCTGCCTAGACTGTTGTTTTTGTTGCATAATTGCCATGCTTCATGGTTGGAAAAAAAAAGAAAAGCAGATTAAAGCTTTCATGGAAAGAGCTGATAAGTCTGATGAAAGAACAAGGTAGAATGAAATAATGCTAATTAGAAAAATGCAATTAATCTGGTAAGATCTGTGTTTTTATTAATTCTTCAAGGAAAGCTGTAGGCATCGAATCTGTATGTACAAAAGTCCCCAAATTCCTGATGTAGCAGCCAAGTGGGGAGAATGTGACTGGAGAAACCACCAATGAAAAAAACCAATAATAATAAAAAACCCTCTGCAGCACCTAGCAAGGATAAGAAAACTTTTAGGAGCTTCCACATATAAGACTAAGGTTACGTGAGCACAGGAAAAGGAATTTGTGCTTCCTTGTGACACCTGAAAGCACATTAAGCAAACACTTAAGTGACCTTATTTATTCTGCTGTTATATAAAGGTCTGAGAAGAGCTTTACACAGGTATGTTACTGAAATAGGTTGCTGAGATAGGTGTATTTTGAAATAAATGTTAAAAGATTACAACTCCCAAAGGTCATCTGTACTTGACACACACCCTGGCCACAAGCATATTCAAGGTTTTAGTCTCTCGGGTTTTTAAGGAACTTTAAAGAGAAGCGCGAAGCGGGAAAGTCAAAGAAAATATTTTTCAGGTTGTACTTGCTTGAGTTACGGAAAGGATAAAAAGATAGGGTGGTTTGTGATAGGAGATGCCTGGATTGAAGATGTAGGAGATTCCTTCCAAGTGCACAGTGTTATAATCATACCTTGATGAAGGAACTGTACTGGGTTCACGCAGCTTTGGAAATTCCCCAGTCCTACAAACCACAGAATTTGTCATTTAGAGCAAGGATAGTTCTTAAGTACATGAGACATGCAGCTATGCAACTGGGTCAAATAAGGACGAAAACTGCTTAATGTAAAGACCATTTTGAACTTCAGATTTAAAACAGTTTCCTACGTGCAACCAGATTGCAGGAGTGTGAATGAGGCTGCTTTCATGCTTTATTTGGGTGCTGCACAGAAACAGCTTGTGCAGGGAGAGGCCAAACAAGGAAAAGCACTTTAAGAGCCAAAGAAAGGTCCCACTAAAGCCCCGCACCAACGAGTTTAGGGGAAAGACGAGGGGAACTACCAGTGGTTCTAAAAAGGTAAAACCAGAAGCAATGCACGTGATGTGGCATCGTACCACTAACCTTATGCAATAGCATTTCATAAGCCTTTAGAACAAAAAAAATGGGGCAAAGTATTTCTGTACTGATAACCTTGTAAACCTACACTACCTGGCATATAGGATTTAAACCTACGCTACCTGGCATATAGGGTTTCCATATTACCCAATGACTACTCTAAGGTGGATGCCTCTTTAAAGCACTGTACCTGGCATCACCAACTGATAAAGATTTAAGGGAACTTCTCTATAAATGATCTATCATATGTCTATCAATCTCACTGATTGATAGAATACTTGTTGTTAAGCATTAGCATCTCATGCCTAAATTCTTAATAATAAAAAAGGAATATTGTCCTCATACCTGCAGCTATCATAAAGATATAAAAATAATAAGTCATAAAAGTGATAAGATAATGTAAAAAAAAAAAATCCAGCCATGATACTATATTTTAATTGCATGAGTACTGACAGTCTGAGAATTTCAATTATCACTTGATTTCTTTCTTCAGCTTTGTTGGTAAGCCGGCCTTAAACTAGCCTTGGTTTCAAAGCTGCTAACAACTTTTGATGTAGAGAACACATGAAGGTGACACAGCAAGGACAGGGAGCTATTAATGTTATTTGTTGAGCAAGTAAAATGCAAGTCAAAATGATAAAACCGGTAAGAATCTGTTCTTTGTAAATTTTATATCCTACTTTAGAAAATGGTAAAAGCCAGGAAGAAACTATATTTATTTTGGGAACTGCAAATGCTTGATTCCAAGACCTGAGACTAGCTATCATATATACTCCCTTATAAACTGTACCAAAAAAAGCAGGACAGGACATCAGGGATAGCTGTGAAATCTAATGCTGTGGCAAGCTAAAAAAAAATCGGATATCAGCTTTTCTGGGGGCAGAAAGCAACAGTTTGATGAAATTGTAAAGAAAAGGGGTATTGTTGCTTGATTTACATTTTTATCTTCTTTACTATTCCCTACTTATTTTGATGGTATTACAGAACGTTATTTTGATCTGCTTACTCTACAAAACAAAGCTCATTAGAAAACTGTTAAAAAGCCTGCAAGAATAATGTAACCTAAGCTATTTGCAGCGTACGAGTTGCAAAACACCACACTGAGGTCATAGGAAAATCGAGCGGATGGGAGTGTGTGTGTTTGTTTCTCCCCCCAGCTAGATACACACATGTGCCCAAGTAGAGCTTTAAGGGTCTTGGCTTTAATTCAGACAGAAATTTGACTTCTGGCCCATAAGTGCAAGCGAGGTTTCTCTCAGCAGCCCCAACTGTCAGCAGGTTTATCTGCTGGGCAGGGACATCGAAAGCGACCGCCCTTGAGTGCGGTCGCCTCCGTCCGCAGGACTGCGCAGCCTGAGCTCGGGGCAGGCACCTTTCCTTTGGCTTACCAAAAGCTCAAAAGCTAGACCCTACTGCAATTTATGTTCATATTTAGCAATTACTTTTTGTAGGTTTTTTTTTTTTTTTTTTTTTTTGAGATAAGTAGTCTTAGGACTATTTCACATAAGACTATTATTATTATTATGGAAATGTAAGGACTGAGCATTGAAAATAATCACATTTGCTTGATAGCAATCTGCCAAACCAGAGATCCAGCACTGGCTATGTGAAATAAATGGAAGGCCTTGCACTTCCTAAGCCTAAACCACTCCTAAATAAATAAATAATGCAGTACTAAGTGCTGGGATGCATTCTATTTTTTTTCTGTTTTTTTCTTATTTCAATTTTAGTTTAAAAACGGATATAATTAATATATATATAATTAAAATGTGCTGGATCCTGATGTTTAAGAGGAAAAAAAAAATGGAGAGACAGGGTAGACAGAGAACACGACAAGAGCGTTTTCCCTGGTGCTCCTTGGGGAGAGTACCTGTGCGTTGAGCTTAGGGCACTCCTGATTCTTCTGTCCTTGACTTTGTCCTACGGCAGCAGCACAGGTGGCAAGCAGGGTCCAGAGACGCAGGGCTTGCATACAGGCTGCCAACAAAAACCAACCAAATCCTCTTAAGAATTGGTCTGCTGTATTAGTCGATCTCTGCTATTCCTGCTGCTCAGAAATGAAAGCAGACATGTACGGTACAGAGCCAGAGCACTCTGGAAGTACCTACATTTAAGGCTAATCTGATACCTATTTGAAAGCAGATGAAAATGTAAGCTTAATTAACCTCTTCAATAAAAAGCAGTAAATGTATTTATTCCTTTAGCGCTGTTGATAATTCTATGCTACCAAACTTATACTTTAAAGTGTAATTTGTCAGGATAAACAACCATAAATAACAACTTAGCTAGCAACAAGCCTGGTTTAAAAAGGCAAGCAGAAGACAGCCAGCGCCGCTGACAGGAGTCGCGCGCACTTACCGGAGGGTTTTGCAGGAGCAGCTGCAGGAGCGAAAGAAAATTCCTCTTGCTCGGGAAGCACTAATATAGCCGCACCAGGAGCAGCTGAGGGCGTTCCCAAGCGCGGCCTGACTAATCCCGGTGCGGAGCAGCGGCTCCGGGGCCGGGGGCTGAGCGCGGCGCTCGGCCAGGCCTAGCAGCCGCGTCCGCCCTCGCCTGCGCTCGCCCTCCGCGGCAGCGGCGCTGCCGCGCACAGGAAGGCCCTTGGCTTCCAAGGCAAAAGCCTCCTTACTTTTTACCCATTTCCTTAGAAAAGCTTTCAAAGGATTTTAGCATTTCCTGTGGCAGAGCGCCACAGACTTCTTATAGCTCTTTGCTACTGGCTGTGTTACCATTTAGAAGGAAGTACAGATTTATCTGTGTAAGAGCAGCAAATTAATTACTTAATGAATCCTTGCTTTGACTTTAATTATCTCTGCGATGCTGGCACAGGCAATCCAGGCGGCTTGTCTGTCCAGATTATCGGGAAACAAGGGGCCTCAATGTGCTTTGGGGGTTTGTCATCGGGCAAACTGCCAGAGCAGGAATTGCTTCTCCGTGAGATAAAAGATATATTAAAAAGGCGCTGTTACTATTGTTATTTTTTTTAATCGCAATGGGACAAAGAAGGTAATTTCTAACCTTATGCCTATTTACAGTTGTGTAGATGATGCTGGGAAGTGTCATATCTGGTTGGTATTTGTTAAGAATCCTAGTGCTAGGGCAACATTGCCAGCTTCCCTGCACCATGCCACACTTCCTGCTTGACCCCAAGTGCCGGTCTCAGGCTGTGAGAAACAGCCACAGCCCTCGAGACGATTTGTATGTGGCCGGGGATGTGCTTGGAGCAACTGCCAGGAACAGCGCAAGGAAAGGTTACTACTGTGGCAGACCCTCGCTATAGGGGGTCTTAGGCAAATTTACTTTTAAAGAGGATATATATATTCTTCTATATTTCAAAAAGATAGACTCTTCTGGGAGTGGCACAGTAGATCCATATATGTTTGGTGTCCATATACCAACCACAGGTTGATACACATACTGTCTGGATTCCTCAAACCGTGACCAATACAAACTACTTTCATTTTTCAGCTTTACACGTGTTTCGACCCAATGGAACAACTAATGGATACTTCAGCTGAGAACTTTTCCAATGCTGAAGATTGAACAAGACTCCCAAAACACAGTAGTTAAGTTCTAAAAACGTTTTAAAAAATATATTAAAAATGTAATACAACCCTGAAGAGACTACACCGAACTTAGTTGGTACTGGCATTTACCAGGATTTATAGCTCTTATTACATCTACCTGGTATAGCACTACCTGATCAAGTACACTGTTACAACTGTTAACATACATGTAATACTACCTCTTATTATTTAACTGTACAAAAAGTTAACATACTTACAGTTTATAATATCTACCTTCACAATAGCATACGAGGATGCCACAATATAACATCTTATCTTGACTAGATATGAACTATTTGCACAACAAGTGCTGTGCTTCCTAGCAGAACAGGATTTCTATTTTCAGTTGGTCTTATGAACACTGAAGGAAAGCATGCCTGCCAGCTGCGTGATGTAAATCAGATAATGGCATCACTTTACGGATTCTATACACAAAGAAGCTGTAAAGCAGCTTTAAAGATGACAGAGCTAGGGACGCAAGTGAGTTTTGTGAGACCTCGGGAGACTGGGACTCGTGGGTGGTGGAGCTGGGCTGCTGATATTCTGGTGCTTCTCAGGTGTCATTCAGTAAGAAAAAAATCATTCTAATACATATTACATGTCTTAACAATTTAAGGGAAATCGGCTTGCTCTTTGGCGAAGTTGAAAAAAAAATCCTGTATTTCATTCTTTCTTTTATGCTCATTTATGATTTAATTGAACAAAAAGGTTTATAGAAATTAACTCTCACCTTTAGAGAATACTAAATAGTATTAATGAAAGAACTAGAAAATGTTTATGTAAAAATTTGTTTACATTATGTAAACATAAAGACATCCACCATCTATCTCTTAAAAAAACCCCACTAATAAAAATGTAATTTCACTCTACAAAGATGCAGTACATGAAACTTCTCACCTAAAAACCACAAAGGGCTGTCTCTGCACCTCAACAAAACTTTAACCTGAAGTGCTTTACTTAAGTGACCGACAGAAAATAACAGCTACGCTCCTGCTGACTTGAGCCAGATCAACATTAGTTTTACACTGTTTAACTTCTGTTCTGAGGCAAATTAAAATTACTTTTTGTTTTTAAACAGAGATCAAGTCCAGCATGACCCCGGAATAATTTCTACTCTTACAATTTTGAAGGTCAGTTAAAAATATTTTAAGCACCACAGACTAAAGCAGGATAGTTATTTCAGGAGATAACTTCTATTTTAGCCCTCTGTTCGGCCAAGGGCCAATCAAATACACATCTCCTCGGCAGAATATTCTAAGCAGCAGAGAAGCTGCCTTAAGACATCGGACGATTTGTCTGCCTTGTGAGACCAGGAAAATGTTCTGCCTTACACTGCGGTGTGTTAGGTTAGCGTGTTTTAAACAGATTCAGGATGCTTTCAAAGAGTGTGAAATACTGATTCAGGATGCTGTTTGAGAGCATGGAACACTGAAAGTTATTAGTCTAAAACAAAGAAAAAAAAGGTTCTACTGGTCCCTATGCACCTTTGCTCTAAGTTTCACCATTTCTTTGAGGAAAGAAAAGAACACAGCACAGATGGGTTACATAAGCATGTCACTTGAACTGTTTTTTAATAAGAAAAAGACTTGAACTAAACTGCCACTAGGTTTTAAAGATCAAGCAATATTTAAGAGTAATGTCCATTCATAAAAATGAGAACATTTCCTATAAAAATCGGAGATAACTGAATCCTGTGTATACCGTAAATATCAGCTAACCTTTCATGAGCTTATTACCTTCCAAGTCTTGTCTACTAAGCCTATTACAGACAAACAACTTTGACTACATCCACGTGCATGTAGAACTTAGCAGGGTTACCTGGGCTTGCTGTTCTAGTCCAAGGATAGCTTTAACCACTATGATTTTTTTCCCTGTTTTTTTTATTCTGTAGTAAGTCTATTTAGTGTATGCTTTTCAAAATAAACTACCTGAGGTAGTTTCCAGAAGACAAGGAATACTGACTGAACCCAAGCACCCCAGAACCAAAATGAAGCAGAAGAAAAGAACCAAGGTAAAATAATCTAATCTAAATATGATCTTTTTTTGTGTTTTAGTGAATGAAGCTGATGAGCAGAATACTGATTTGCTTCCAGCAATATCTTTCTATATTCTTAAGGAACAATTACAAGGAGAATAATGTAAGTGTCATGTTAAACAAACTGGGATAAATAGAATTTTGGAAGAGAATTTTGGAAGTTCACTGTAGGGATGTGGTGTGAAAGAAAGAAAGAAAGAAAGAAAAACAGCACTTGCTAAAAAATAATGCTTAGAAAGTACTTTTATTCTGGACTGCCAAAGAATACAGCCAATGAGAGCAACAGTGCTGCCTTCAGAATAAAGATTTGAACATTAATAAATCCGAAGGTGGAAAATGGTAGGAAGGAGGTGGCCAACAAAACGATGACATAACAAGCTTTCAAGATTCATTATTTTCATTTTAACGGAGATTGTGTTTTGGCTACTAAACTATCATATTTTAAAAATACATAAATTCAGGCACAAAATGGATGTTGGGGGTAAATACTGTATTAAAAGATATATTTAGCAACCCTGTTCAATACAGATTTTTTAGATCTGATCGGAGATATCAGTTTTTATCATACATGAGAAAATGAGTGACAATCTATAGTTTTCCCTTTCAGTATGAAGGGGATACAGAAAACGATTCTACTGCGCTCAAATGTGCATTCAAATGTATAAACAGCTAAACTTCTGAGGTGTTTCTTTTGTTGTGTTTAGCAATAGTTAATCGCTATGACATTGCACTGAAAAAATTATCTCAGTAAAACCAATGTAATTCATAAAAAGAAGGCTATGTAAGTATAGATTTTAAATTTAGGAAGATAACTGTGCATTTTTTTAAACCTTGGTATCTCATCAGTTTCATCAGGACTGAGCACAGGTTTTACGCTGTCAACAGGACCAATAATTAACTTACATTAAGGTCATGGAAGTGAAATAAATTACTTTGTTTCAATGATTTCTCAAGGTGGTTACTCTAAGAAAGTCAATAAGGAGTTTAAAATAAGTTTCTTATCTGATTCTGCAAATCTAGAAATCTAAAGCAAATAAGAGATTAAGGATCAATTTGAAACCTGCAGGAGACCATGCCTGTCGCAATGCAAAATGAAGCTGGATGTGGGGATGAAAGAATAAAACTCTGCAGGATATGGGTCCCTTGGCACCTTCCTCTTGCGCTCGTGAAGGCCACTTTAATAGCAGAGATCCCTATTGCTAATAAATCAATGTACATTTAGCATCTGCCAAGAAAATAAGAATGAAGGCGGGTCAAATATATTGTTTAAGTGCTCTTTTCAGTACAGAGCAAGTCTAGGTAACAGAATACAGCTAAGGGACTTGGTGGACTTGCATATAAACAAGAGTCATTTTTCTTTAACACACAGGTGTGGT